ACTCTGTGTTCTCCAGTGTAATTCTCGGATCTCTATCAGGACTCCAGTGGTCAGCTATTTCCAGTATCTACGAGACGGCATCAAGTTCAAGTCTTCTCCCTGTGTTCCCCTGTGTGGATCTCGAAGCTCTTCCTGTATTCAGGAGTTGCATACAGTGTCTAAAATAAAACCTGTTAACGCCATTCTCTGTGTCTTCATCCTTGCAGTAGTGTGACAGGCGTTTACACGTCTCAATGTGTTGCTTCAGATCATTAGCGTTTGAATAGCACGCGCTCTCCGTGGGCGTGTCACATTAGCGGAATAATGAGATGCGAGAACGATAATGAGAACGGCTGACACATCTCTCTTTTCATAGAGATTACATAAACAGAGAATATTTATTTTAGTTTTAAATTAGATAATTTAAAAGTACAAACTTAAATGATCATAAACATATATTGCTCATGTCTGGGTGAAAGTAGAAGTAGAAGTAGAAAGTTTTTTATTTTCATTGCCCAAGAAATGAACAACGAAAATTTAGCAGCAATTCATCTAGTACACATAAATATAACTTTAGAAGGCAAAGCAAGAATGTACTTCGTAAAAACAAAATAAAAAATAAATAAAGATAATAACACACAAGACAAAATAGAACATTTTGTACACTGAAATGTAAACATTTTCCACATGGACCATATTGTGAATGTGTGTGTGTGTGTGTGTGTGTTTATGCGCATGTATGTGTGTACGGGTGGGAAACAGTTAGTGACCATGTGTGTTCAGTATGGTGATGGCTTGTGGAAAGAAGCTATTCTTGAGTCTATTTGTTCTGGTCTTGATTGACCTGTAGCACCTGCCAGAGGGCAACAGCTCAAACAGGGGGTAGGCTGGATGGAAATAGTCTTTGGTGATGGCCTTTGCTCTATTGAGGCAGCGGGATGAGTAGATGTCCTTTAGGGAGGGAAGGGTGCAGCCGATGATTCGCTGTGCGGTATTTATCACTCTCTGGAGCTTCTTCCGTTCTGCCTCTGTGCAGTGAGAAAACCATACCGTAATGCAGTACGTTAGAATGCTCTCGACGGTGGAGTGTTAAAAAGTCACTAGCAGCTCCTTTCCAACGTTGTTCCTCCTGAGGACTCTCAGGAAGTGCAGACGTTGCTGTGCTTTTTTAAAGACAACAATGGTGTTTATTTTCCAGGAGAGATCGGCAGAGATTACAGTGCCCAAAAAGGTGAAAGCGTGGACCCTCTCCACGCAGTCTCCATTGAGGAAAAGAGGTCTCAGGTCTGCCCAGTGCTTCCTGAAGTCCAGGATAATTTCTTTGGTTTTTGTGGTGTTTATAGTCAAGTTGTTTTCCAGGCACCACTTGGACAATTCCAAAACCTCGTCCCTGTAGGCTGACTCGTCACTCTCCGAGATCAACCCCACCACCGTTGTGTCATCCGCAAACTTCAGTATGGTATTACTGTTGTGGATGGGTCTGCAATCGGCAGTGTAAAGGATGTAGAGCAGCGAACTCAACACACAACCTTGTGGGGAACCCGTGCTCAATAAATAAGTAGAGGAGCGGTTGTCTCCAAGTTTAACTGACTGTGGTCTGTTTGTGAGAAAATCTTTAATCCATGAACAGGTGAGTGGGTGGAATCCCAGATCAGACAATTTGCTGATCAGGATGTCGGGGACGATAGTGTTGAAGGCTGAGCTATAATCAACAAAGAGCATCCTGACATGGCTCTCTCTATGCTCCAGGTGGCTCAGCGCCGTATGTAGAGTGATGGCAATAGCGTCCTCAGTTGCCCTATTTGCCTTGTAGGCGAATTGATAAGGGTCAGACGAGGGAGGGAGGCAATCTTTGATGTGACCCAAGACTAACCGTTCCAAGCATTTAGTGATGATTGGTGTAAGTGCCACCGGACGGTAGTCGTTGAGGCTGGTTATATTTTAATTTTTGGGTACAGGGATGATAGTAGTCGACTTTAGGCAGGCTGGGATAGTAGCCTGTGCCAGGGAAAGGTTGAAAATGCTGGTGAACACCTTTGAGAGCTGGTCAGCACAGGCCTTGAGCACTTTCCCAAGTACTCCGTCCGGTCCTGCTGCTTTCCTGGGGTTCACCCTGCTGAGCACCTCTTTCACATCCTGAATCTGCACAGTCAAAGGTTGAAAACTGAAAGCTGGTTGGGGCTGAGGTGGTATGACTGCAGACTGTCGGAGTGGGATCTCAAAGCGTGCAAAAAAGGTATTCAGTTCTTCCACCAGTGCGATGCTTGAGTCCACAGCTGTGTTAGTCTGTCCCCTGAAGTTGGTGATCTGCTGAATACCCTGCCATACCTGCCGAGTGTTGTTATTAGAAAGATGACTTTCTATTTTCCTCCTGTAGTCAGCTTTAGCTACCCTGATCCCTCTCTTCAGGTCAGCTCTGGCAGTGCTGTATAATGCTTGATTTCCTGACCTGAAGGCGATATTGCGGTTTTTGAGTAATGATTTGACTTGGCTGGTCATCCAGGGCTTCTGATTTGGGAATACCCGGATGCGTTTGACCACTGTGACATTCTCCGTGCAGTACTTGATGTATGATAGTACAGCCTCTGTATATACTGCCAGGTCGTTGTGTTCAAAAACACTCCAATCAGTGTATGTGAAACAGTCCATTAGCTTAGGAAGTGCATCTTCTGGCCAGATAGTGATAGTCTTTGTCAATGGGGTTGTTCTTCGTATAAGAGGTTTGTAAACAGGGGGGAGGAGCAAAGAGAGGTGGTCGGAGTGGCCTAAATGCGGAAGTTGTGTGGTTTTGTATGCATGTTTTATGTTTGTATAAACATGATCTAATGTATTTCCCCCTCTAGTTGAACATTTTACATACTGGTAAAATTTAGGCAAAAAGGACTTTAAATTTGCCTAATTAAAATCACCCGCAATAATGTGTACCCCGTCAGGATGAGACTTCTGTTGTTTGTTTATGTTATTTGACAGCAGCGAGAGAGCAGTGCTAACGTTAGCATCGGGAGGAATGTACACAGCCGTAATTATCACTACTGTTAGTTCTCTAGGCAGAAAAAAAGGACGGCATTTAACAGAGAGGGACTCTAGGTCCGGTGAACAGTGCTTATGTATGGTCAAGTTGTCTCTAGACCATTTGTCATGTACATAAATACACAGACTGGATGCTTTGCTCCGATCGTAGCGATACATAGAGCGCCCAGCTAGCTGTATGGCTCCGTCAGGGATCTGCGGGTGAAGCCAGGTCTCTGATATGATTGAAACACAACAGGCGCGGATGTAGCGATTTCCTTCGGTGAGTAAGTTCAATTCATCCATTTTGTTGGCTAGCGATCTTGCGTTGGTGAGGAACATACTCGGAAGTGGAGGCTTGTGGGGATCTTTCCTCAGTCTCGCAAGAAGACCGGACCGGCATCCTCGCTTCTGCCTCCTCTCCCTCCGCCGTCTTCGACGCCTGCCAACACCGATAAAAAACTCCTGTCTACTATAGCATAACATGAACAGTATTCGCTGAGTTTTGTTTAAGTTTAGAGACGTGCTCCAGAAAAAAAGTTCACGGACATGGAGAGGCAGAACGCACACCCTTTTTTTTTTCTTTATTTTACAAAAGCACAATATTTTATTTCGATTGTAGGTGGGCACATAAAAAAGTAGACATTTAATATCTCTTAACTCTGTATGACCAGAAATGATGGAGTAGTTTAAGTCTATTTTTCTGCTATGTGAAAAAAATCTGCCAAAACGCACCGGTGCGTTTGCCGTCCCCAGAGGGTTAACTCAAGCATTAGCTCAGTTCCTTGAACAATGCGCTTTGTGTCAAAATATGTTTGCATGCTCTGAAGTTGTCTGAGGGTTGTCATTACATATGATTATCCAGGAAATATCTATCTGCTGCCTTTCATCTAATCTCAGTCTTTGGCATGATGCCATTGCTAACAGGCTTGCCTAAGGGACGCCAGCGCCGAAAAATCATATAAATGCAAATGACACATTCGCCTGTGGAAATATCCACTCTCTCACCTTCCTTCTTTTCATGTTCAGTTTTTGTCCCTCGTTCTGTTTCTGTCTGAAGTGGTTTAGTTGTCAACTTTCAGCTCTATCATTTCACAAGAAAACAGGAGAAAATGTCACAGATATGCCCTTACAGGAGAGAGAATGGGAAAAGAGCTTTTGTGTTCTGCTTCAGAATACTTTGAAGAAAAAGTGCATTCATGTTCTCCATTTGTGATTCAACTTCAACAAACAATGCATGTATTACACTATGATGAAATGTGCCAACTAGTATGGTTCGTACCGCTGGCAATGGCAAAAGTCCATGATGCAAAGCTGTTTCAATAGAGGTAGTGAAGATGAGAAGAACAGCCTAAATAAACACCCCGAAGAGTAAAACACACCACATTCTGTGTGTCTCCCTCATCCTGCAGACTCGACTGATGCGCTGATGAGTGAATCAGGTGTGTTTGATGATGGAGACACACGGCATTTGCACTGGGAACAAGGACAGGTTTAAGAAGCACTGACGATGCCTCATCATTTAAAAAACCCACTTTATTTATATTTGAAAACAAAAGCCACTAACATTTGATTGATATCTCTTTAAAATCTGCAAGAGATGTTTTTTCCCCCAACTGTTTGACACCATGGTAACAGGTGGTGACAGCTGTCAATCATATCAACGAAAGACCAGAAGGTCAGCATTAATAGACTTTTCAGTTTACTAAAGGGCAAAAGGTTCCAGAAATAAAAGTGCAAAAAGAATGTAATATTGTAAGATTTATGCCCGTTCTCTGTGTGCTGTGAAGTCTACTCCGTAATACCGCTACTACATTACTCTCTACTGAAATTAATACCCATAACGCAGCAAATATTGCATTAGTGCAGCACAAAGAGAATAAAAAAATACCACTACATGTTTGTATAGCACTTGACTGAACTTATTCATGATTCTAAACACTAAACTTTTGTGGTGATTATTTAAAAAAAAAACAAGACTTCCATGTGAGGAACGAGTGAAGAGTTCTTACCTTGCCCACATACAGCGGCTCCGTCCCGGTGTATTCCTCAAGCACAAAGAACTGATTCCAAACCCAGTTGCGTTTCTGTCTCTGCATGGCGTCGCGTGAGTGTGTGGGGTGTTTGTAGGGTCGGTCAGGCGTCATGTCAGGGGTCGTGTCAGGGGTCGTGTCAGGGGTCGTGTCAGCAGACCAGCTCGTGTTCTGAACAGCGAGGAGCCAGACGGCACAACACACAAGACGGCCACAAACACTCATCTGGGGCAATGTGAAGGATCAGCACACGGGAGTGAAGGATCAGCACACAGGAGTGAAGGATCAGCACACGGGAGTGAAGGATCAGCACACAGGAGTGAAGGATCAGCACACAGGAGTGAAGGATCAGCACACGGGAGTGAAGGATCAGCACACAGGAGTGAAGGATCAGCACACGGGAGTGAAGGATCAGCACACGGGAGTGAAGGATCAGCACACGGGAGTGAAGGATCAGCACACGGGAGTGAAGGATCAGCACACGGGAGTGAAGGATCAGCACACGGGAGTGAAGGATCAGCACACAGGAGTGAAGGATCAGCACACGGGAGTGAAGGATCAGCACACGGGAGTGAAGGATCAGCACACGGGAGTGAAGGATCAGCACACGGGAGTGAAGGATCAGCACACGGGATGGATCAGAGACTGAACAAAAATACAAAGTTCTGAAATATCACCAATGCAGATAATGAAATGACAAACCCTTGCAGTTTGTGGATTTTCCAAAGTTGTTGATGCACAAAACCTAGAAATCCCTGAAGTGATTACAGTGATGTCATTTCTGATGGTTCAGGAGGAGTTTCTGATGCCTGTCAGAGAAAGAGAAAGATAAAACAAGGGTGAGAGGATTTGCCTTCAACTATTGTAGACTTTCTGAAGAAGAGTTGTTGCAGCAAATCCCCATGTCCAAACAGAGGGTATGTCTTGCTATGTTTTTTAGGGCTCCACACAAAATTGTAAAAAAAAAAAGGTATGTAAAAATGTATTCTATTAATTGAAAGTAATAATCATTATTACAATTATAAAGAGCAATAATCAACAATAATGATTTTCTCATAATACTGCAGCCCTACACTGTAATAATGTTTTTTATTAATTTTATAATTTATATACTTTATAGACTATAGTATATTTGCATACATATTTATATACACACTATATTTATATTATGCAGAGTTATATGATTATCTGAGTGATTGTTTTATATCGACTAATCCAGGTTATTGTCATGATCTCACGTGTCTTGTGTTTTGTAGGACTTTTATGTTTAAGTGTATTCTTAGTTCCCATTGTTTCAGTGTTCACTTCCTGTGTTTGGTTCCTGTTTTGCCTTGTACCTTGTTTGTTGTCATAGTTACCCTCATTAGTTCCCATGACATCTAATCACCAACACCTGTCCCTCATCAGCCCCTTGTTAACCTGTCTATTTAAACCTATGTGCTTCAGCTGTTGGTTGTTGTTGGTTGTTCCTGTATGTGTGTTCCTGTTCTTGCTCTCCTGCCTGCTCTATGTGGATTATGCTCTTGATCTTGGATTATCTGTGTTTATGTTTTATTAATAAACCTCTGTTCCCTTTCAAAAGCTACAATTGATGCTGCGCTGCTTAGCTGCTTAAAGTCAAAAAAGAAAAGAAATGAGTCAACAGCAAAGTAAGCGTTGTGTTCCTCCATGCTCCCGTCCTATGTCTGAGCTGGACACACATGATTACTGCTTTGTTTGTTTGGGGGAGTAGCACGCGGTTCTGGCGTTAGAGAAAGGCGAGTGCGAGCATTGTGAACTGTTCACAGTGAAAATGCTGTGTGCTCGTCTGAACTATTTCCAGACCGCACCCACATTATCATCGTGGGGCTCCCACATGGATCTGTGTGATGAGCAAGAGACGGGTCCTTCCCTACCTCTTGCTGTATCACCAAATCCACACGTTCCCTCGCGTGATCCAGGAGCGCACTCCGGTGCTTCTTCGGCTCGCGCGGGGGACGATGATTTGTCTCTTGGGTCTGAGGACTGTGAGCGGCCGTCTTCTGAGCATTCCTCTCGTGAAAATAAATCTGTCGAGGAACTGCTCAAGGTGGTCACTCGCGCGGTGGCCAGGCTGCAGCTTGACTGGCCTCGCGATCAAGAGCCCCCCAAACAATCTAAGCTAGAGGATAGGTTTCTGTCCGGTGGCAGGGGGGAGGGACCAAAACATCAGTCTCTCTCCATCTTCGAGGACCTCCATGACAAGTTGTCTAAGTCATGGAGTAAACCATATTCTTCCCATGTCTTTTTGCCCTCGACGTCGACTTTTTCAGCTATCATGGGTGCAAAGTCAGGGGGGTATGGGGAGATGCCGCAGGTAGAAGAGACGCTCGCGAGCTATCTCTCGCCTGCTTCGGCATCTTCCACTAAGAAACCTACCCTCCCCACGAAACCATGTAAAATAACATCAGCATTAGTGGGTAAAGCTTATCAAGCTGCAGATCAGGCTGGTGCTGCGCTGCACACTATGGCAGTGTTACAGGCGTACCAGGCTGACCTATTGAAGGTTTTGAGTGCGGGCAGCACTATAGATGAGGAGTCTTTCTCGGAGCTGTGGAGAGCCACAGATCTGTCTCTTCATGCGACCCGTGCCATCAGCCGTTCGATGTCTGCTTTGGTCAGCACGGAGAGGCACCTGTGGCTTAATCTAACAGGAATAAAAGATAAAGACCGGGTGTTCCTGTTAGATTCCCCAGTCTCGCCCTCTGGCCTGTTTGGCGACTCTGTCAACACAGTCCTCAGCAGGTTCAGAGAGGTTAAAAAACACGAGGAAGCTTTTGTACAGTTTCTTCCTCGCCGCACTCATAGGGAGGGGTCATCGGCCACCCAACCTCTCCCCGGTCCTTCAAGAGCCCGGGAGGTGAAGAAGCAGAGCGTCCAATCTTAGATCTTCAAGGCTTAAACCATACAGTCAAAGCGCTCATGTTTAAGATGTTAACCGTAAAGACGGTCGTGTAGCAAATCCAACATCAAGATTGGTTCGTCACGATCGATCTGAAGGACGCATATTTTCACATACAAATATTGCCACAACACAGGAAGTTCCTGAGGTTCGCTTTCGGGGGCGAAGCATACCAATTTCGGGTTCTTCCATTTGGCCTAGCCGTGTCACCCCGCACGTACACAAAATGCATGGATGCAGCACTGGCTCCATTACGACTCCAGGGCATTCGCATTTTGAATTACATTGACGATTGGTTAATACTAACACAATCGCAAGAGAGGGCGCTTCAACACAGAGACATTGTGTTAGCTCATCTAGTTTCTCTAGGGTTGAGACTCAATGCCAAGAAAAGGTTTCTTTCTCCTGCCCAGAGAATGACTTATCTCGGGATTGTTTGGGATTCGATCACGATGCGGGCACAACTGTCTCCCGCTCGAATTGAGACCATTCGACATCCTATGAGCAAAGTCAGGCTAGGCCAAGTTCGCACTGTTCATCAGTACCAAAGAATGTTAGGTTTCATGGCTTCAGCATCCACTGTGAATCCTCTGGGGATGTTGCACATGAGACCGTTTCAGTTGTGGCTAAAAGCCAGGGGATTTCATCCAAGGGCCAATCCTCAAAGGCACATAAAAGTGACGCGCCACGGGCTTCGTACACTATCCTTGCGGCTCAGACCCCGGTTCCTCGCCTTGGGTCCCACTCTAGGGGCGCCGTGTTGTCGCAGATTGTTAACGACCGACGCCTCCCTGGCGGGCTGGGGAGCGGTCTTAAGTGGTCGTCCAGCTCAAGGGGAATGGGAGGGTCATCAACTCGATTGGCACATCAACTGCCTCGAGCTGATGGCTGTATTTCTGGCCCTGAAATACTTTCTCCCTCAGTTGAGAGGCTTTACAAAGCGGAGGTGGACCTCTTCACCTCCCATCAGACAGCGCAATGTCCCCTCTACTTTTCTCTGAGTCACTCAGCCCCCCTGGGTCTGGATGCGATGGCGCACACATGGCCCAAAATGCGCCTGTATGCGTTTCCTCCAGTGGCTCTGCTCCCGGGAGTTCTAGCCAGAGTTCGCCAACAAGGATCTTGTTTCTTACTGATTGCGCCGCGTTGGCCAAACAGAGTATGGTTCTCGGAGATAATATCTCTCCTCAACAGCTCGCCATGGGCGATTCCGGAGAGGAGGGACCTTCTGTCCCAGGCATAGGGCACGATATTCCATCCCAGGCCCGACCTATGGAACCTTCATGTTTGGCCCCTGATGGGTACCAACTGAGGGACACTGGGCTTTCAATGTTATTGAAACCATTTTGAATGCTAGGGCTTCCTCCACTAGAAAGAGTTATGCAAATAAATGGAGTGTCTTTGAAAGGTGGTGTACGGCACATAATGCAAAGGGGGTCTGGTTGAGACCCCCTTTGAACCTCTAGAGTCAGCGTCTGACAAACTTCTGACCTTAAAGATGGTTTTTCTTATTGCTATAACCTCTCTAAAAAGAATCGGGGACATGCAGGCTCTGTCAATATCGCCATCCTGCTTAGACTTTGCCCCAGGAATGGTGAAAGTGATTTTGCAACCTCATCCTGATTACCTGCCTAAGGTACCTTTCTCGGCTGTACATTCGGTCACTCTTGAGGCTTTCTGCCCTCCGCCGTTCACGACGCCAGAACAGGAGAGATCTCATAGACTGTGTCCAGTCCGTGCTCTTCAGACTTACGTCCACCGCACCAGCCAGTGGCGTAAATCAGAGCAACTGTTTGTTTGTTATGGGGGCAGTAACAGAGGCGCTGCTGCCACCAAACAGACCATGTCACATTGGGTCAGGGATGCTATTGCCCTTGCCTATGAGGCGCGCGGCCAAGCTTCGCCAACGGGTCTAAGGGCTCACTCCACCAGAGGGGTCGCCTCCTCTACTGCCTTGGCGAGGGGAGCCCCCTTACAACATGTTTGTGATGCGGCAGGCTGGTCCTCTCCGCACACATTCATAAGATTTTATAGTTTGGATGTTCATGCCACTCCGGACTCTCATGTCCTTGAGTCGACTTCACAAGCTAGTGTCTAGGGCCTTCTTGTGTTCTTGTGAGCACACCTGCACAACCGTAGGGGTCCAGACACCTTCATGGTGGCGTGGGTATTCACGTTTCCAATGCGCTAAGCAGCACAGCATCGATTGTAGCTTTTGAAAGGGAACTTGACTGTAACCCTGTTCTCTGAAAAAGCGGAAAGAGATGCTGCTCTGCTCTGCCGTGCTGATGATGTCACAGGATTGATCTTCAGAAAAAATTGATCCTGACGATGCACCTGTGGCTCATCTATTTATAGCCTTGCGTTGATGACCGAGGCTATTGCGTCATCGACCGAGGCTATATTACCTCCGGGTCAATTCTATTGACGTGTTTTCACTCAATATTCACAGCTGGTCACGATTAAAGACGTTCCCAATGCGCTAAGCAGCGCAGCATCTCGTTCCGCTTTTTCAGGGAACAGGGTTACAGTCAAGTAACCTGAACCGTTCATGCGTTTGGATTCTCGCTTCGTCTCATGCCTGCTCACACATTATAGTTATATAGGATGCCAAGTCTACTTACAGGTGAGACATTTTAAACCATTAAAGGTGTTTTCCTGTAATTTGTCATCCTTCTGTAGAATGCTATAACAAATGCTTTTCTTATTAAAATAGCACAATAACATATAATTTAATGTGAAGAAGAATGTATATTAGGGGTGTAACTAGGGATGGGCATCGTTAAGAAATGATCGATATCGATGCCATTGTCGAGTCTGCTTATCGATGCGATTCCTTATCGATTCCCATATCGATTCCTGTACCATTTGCTGAACACTTAAAGGGTGGCTTTGAGAGTTGTTGGCTTTGAATGTC